TCCTTCTCCCCCATTCCCTCTGCCTTGCTAAAAACCATTAGATGACATCCCTAAAGCTAGCCACTGAGGTCTATTCCCTTATTCGGCCACTTCCTCCTCCTGAGGCTGACTACCAAAGTCCAGCAATCAAAAGGCCCCTTTGGCTCACCTAATTAACATGTCCAATTAAAATTAAACAATTAGTCCTAACAGGAGGTTCCCCTTTTACTCTAATAAACCACCGTTTGCCTGTGGGTCACACCTGTCTCCTCTGACCAGAGGCAGTCCTTTGTGGCAGCTGTCATCCTTTCCCCTAGCCAACATCCCTTCTCCCTCGTCCCTTTCCCCTTCTTTGTCCTCTATCTCCTGCCTTTGTCTCTAACTGCCTGCCTTTTTGTCCCCCTGGGACAAATAAATCTTAGTGCTACCAATTTGGTCTTGGGGGTCTTGAGCCAATACTGGCCCTTCAGTTATTGCTAGGAGTTTCCCTCTCATCAGAGACACAAGGACAAAAGCCTAGCCAGGCCTTGGTGGTACACACCTTTAATCCCAGCATTTGGGAGGCAGGAGCGGGCGGATATCTGAGTCTGAGGCCAGCCTGGTCTACAGAACTAGTTCTAGGACAGCCAGGGCTACACAAAGGAACCCTGTCTTGAAATAGAAGAGAAAGGAAACAGCCTTGCCCTACACCTTCCATCTTCTGGCTCTCGCTGTCACATTTAGCATCTGGACCACAAGCAGGTGTTGTGCCCCACTCAGCTCCCCCGAGAGGTGCTACAGCCATCTGATTCCTACTATGACTGCCATTGTTTCCTGTGCTGGCCGCCACCCTTTCCTGTCAGGGCCCAGAGGTCAGCAGTCTGCTTGTCCTCTTAGAGGCAGGCTCTCTGGCACTTGCACCTTGGGGGCCTGAGGAAACGGAGTTGTTCTTAGCAGCGCCCCCTCCTCAGGCCACACCTCCTCACCACTGTTCCGTGGCTCTCAGGCTGGTGGGTCTCTAGGGACACTGTAGAGGCTGCTAGATAGAAAATCCCAGAAGAACCAAGAAGGCAGAGGCCTGGTCTGTCCTTGGAACTTTCTTATCTGTCTACAATACCAATCACCTCCCCCACCAGGGCCCTGAGCGTGCAGCAACCGCCCCCATCCTGGCCTTCTGAAAGTTCCGCAAACAGCTCAAAGGTGTTGGGTGCAGTGGAGGTGGGGAGCAGAGAAGGGAGGGAGCTGTACCAGTTTTCTCACATCTTTAGCTCAAAAGGAAGGTGTTTGCTGCCTTTGTTCTGTTTCAGACCTGTCTGTACTGGAAAGGCCTCAGGGATGGCAAACGAATGGGGAGGGACGCCTCCATAGACTGTTCTTGTCATCGAAGATCTGCCCAGCCCCAAAACTTCCAAAAAAGGAAGTCTGGTTTGGCTTGTTTTTTCATTCTTTCACACAAGGCAATTTGGACCCCCCCCCCCCAGTATCAGAGCCACTGTTAACACCTTTGCAGGGCAAAGACCAGGCACGAGAGACCAGGCTTCCTTCCTGTGAGGGCTCCGTCCTTGTCCCTTGGTACCAGTGCCCAGCAGGAAGAATGAAAAGCCACTGAGCAGTCCCAGTATCTCAGCCATCTGTGCATCACGGACTGAGCATCAAGAAACACTGAAGAAAACCAGTGAGAGGCCCAGTTAGCTCCAGGAGGAGAGAATTCCACTCTCCTGCCCCCAGCGCTTCAGAGGCCACTCAGGGAGACAGACACACACCAAAGACAGGAAGGCATCCCCACAACAGGAGCAAGACCATGTCACACAGAGCTGTGGAGGCAGACACAGGAGAATGCCCAGTCCCTAGAGGAAAAGCTCACAGAAGTGGTAATTCTCGGGCCACATTTTCCTTTTATTTAAAACAAAATGGAACAAAAAACATATACATTGTTATCCTTTTTCTTCTTCTTCTCTAAAAATAGTGTTTGGTGGTTGTGACAATCTGAGCAGTGAGAGTTCAGAGAAGAAAGTCACAATTTCCTCAAGGCCTACAAGCCAGAAAGGACCAGCAGCACAGAACTTCAGATAGGACTGTACTGGAATTTTACAAAATAAAAGAAAATGCTGATAAAATGAAGCTGCTTGGGCCCCCGTTTTACAAAGTGAGGATGAATAGGGTCTGTGTGTAACACATGCAGCCAAAAGAGAGTAGCCGCCGTCCAGACTGGCCACCACGCAGAGGGAGGACCTAAGAGCGGGTTCCCCAGTGAGTGATGCCTCAGAAAATGGGATGGGGGAGTTGTGGATGTTTTGTTTACATTAGAGCCCAGTATGGCCTCCAACTTTCAATCCTCCTGCCTCAGCCTCCCAGGAAGTGAGATTACAGGAATGACCTGTGTTTAATGAGCATTGAGGGCGGAGGGCAATGGGGAGTTCATTAAATATAAGAGAACCAGATCAATGTCACTATAATAGCAGAGCAGGCTCTGTTTAATGAGCTCCTGTGTGTGTCAAGTACTGAGCCAGTCAGTTTTCATTAGTGGTCCAATTAATTTTCACAGCAATGTTGTGTAAGAACTTTTATTGCTGCCAGTTACATCTAAGGAAATAGCACAGAAACAGAACATGAGGTGAACATGATGAGAATCTGAACCCAGTTGAGGTTTAACTAGAACTTGTGTCTTCTTGGAGGACTTCTGAAAAGAATCTGGTATTCGTGGCTTTAATGACACAGCATGCAGCCCCCCCAACTCCATCAAGAGTCTGCTCAAGCTGGGCGGTGGTGGTACACGCACGCCTTTAATTCCAGCACTTGGAGGCAGAGGCAGGTGGATCTCTGTGAGTTCGAGGCCAGCCTGGCCTACAAAGCAAGTTCCAGGACAGCCAGAACTGTTGCACAAAGAAACCCTGTCTCAAAACAAAACAAAAACAAAAAAACAAAGCAAAACAGAACAAAAGTCTTTGCTCACCAATATACATAAACTGAGTCTATTTCAAACCAATCTAAGCCTCATATGGCAGCACATGCATAGGCAGATCAAGAGTTCAAGGCCAACTTGCGCTGCTTAGCAAGACCCCGCCTAAAAAAAATAAGCAAAAATAAAACCAGTCCTAACAGTTTATGGTTATGTCACACTCGACTCTTAAAATAATTTTGAGGGGTTTCAAGGAACACTAAAAGAATCTGGCTCAAAGCATGTATTACCTCATTTCCCAGAAATAAGTGGTTTTCTCCCCCTCTTCTGAGAAAGTATTCCCCTCCTTATCTTCATTTATTAGCCAGATTAGACTCGTGGAAGGAAAGGGAGCAGGATAGTGGAGGGATGTGGTTGTTTCCCTCTACTATCTGAGATTGTTTTCCTCAGGCATGGTAGCATAGCAGTGTGGGACACCAGGAGGGAATACTGGTCTGGCTTCAGCAGGCTGGGCAAACAAAAGAGATGATTACACACAGAGGGAAATGCTTTTTTAGTTATCACCTGTCAGGGTTCTGAGATCGGTTCCACCTGCCTTCCTGTGAAGCTTCACTCAAGGTCACAGCTCACACAGCACATGCCATGGACTCCAACGGCTCACAGGGGCAGCCTGACTACTAGGCTTCCAATGCAAGAGATCTAGTAAGGAACCCTAGTTTTCATTCAGACCTAAAAGAAACACTTAGGTTCTAGCTCTGGAGCCAACTGCCACCAAACCATCTGTTTCCGGATAAGCAGGCTCCCCAGAGAGAAGGTGGTGAGAGCCCAGCATGACAGGGTTTCCTGCAGACACCAGGACTGGTCTGCAGCCCCCTAGGGCCCTGGGAGAGCCAGAACAGGCAGGACTTGCCTGGGCTCTGGAAGCCAAGGATTCCAATGTCCCCTGGAAAGAAGTCAGGGAGAGGCCTGGTGACTAAGGCACTGACTGATGTCATCCCTTTCATTTTCCTGGACCTCCACCTGGTTTGGAAAGTGTAGTTGTGAGACTCTCTGCATGCTCTATTCACTCTTCTGGACATACATGGAGCAAAAAGGAAGAGTAATTAGAAACAAACTTGGAGCATTCTCCTAAGCTTGGAACCTTCAGGTCAGCGCACTGGCACCTGAAATCAGAGGCTACCCAGGATTGGTACTGGACTACAGAAGAGCCAAGCCAGCAGCAGATGCCCCCTCACCAGCAGCCCTGAGTCCCGATAAAGAAACAGCCTCCAGAGGTCCTCCAACTCAGGCTCAGTTCCATTCCCACAATGACACCAGAACAGAGGAGGTTCACAAAGTGTGAAACACCGCTTCAGGCACTATCACCTGCTGAGAATCTATTTATAAGGCCTGTCCACCCACAGAACCACAAGCAGGTGTCAGATCCGCACTTCTCTCTAAACAACTACTTCTAGTGCTGTTTAGACCTGCTAAGAACCAGTCTAAGGCTAGGCATGGGTGGTACACTTTTTTAATCACAGCACTTGGGAGGCAGAGGCTGGAGGATCTCTGTGAGTTCAAGATCAGCCTGATCTACATAAGTGAAATTCAGAATGGTCAGGGATATATAGGGAGACCATGTCTCAAAAAAAAAAAAAAAGAAAGAAAGAAAGGATGGATGGATGAAGGGAGGAAAAGAAGGAGGGAGGGAAGAGGAGAGGAGGGGCGGGGAGGGAAAGGAAGGGAAGGAAAGGGAAGGGAGAAGAAAGCCAAGTGGTAGTAGAACACACCTTTAATCCCAGCACTCAGGAGACAGAGGCAGCTGAATCTCTGAGTTCAAGGCCAGCCTGGTCTACTGAGTTCCAGAAAAATCCTGTATCAAAAAACAAAACAAGAAGAAGGAGAAGGAGAAGGAGAAGAAGAAGAAGAAGAAGAAGAAGAAGAAGAAGAAGAAGAAGAAGAAGAAGAAGAAGAAGAAGAAGAAGAAGAAGAAGAGGAAGAGGAAGAGGAAGAGGAGGAGGAGGAGGAGGAGGAGGAAGAGGAAGAAGAAGAAGAAGAAGAAGAAGAAGAAGAAGAAGAAGAAGAAGAAGAAGAAGAAGAAGAAGAAGAAGAAGAAGAAGAAGAAGAAGAAGAAGAAGAGAAAAGAACCATTCTGAGCCCTGAGCCTGGTCTACACCTGGAACCCACCACAAGGACATTCAGACAGGAGGGTACAATGAAGTGAGATCTGCCTCAAAACCAAACAAAAACGGTCAACAAATACAGGCACTTGCCTCTAACTCTGAAAACCTGAGTTTGACTTCCTGAGACCCACATGGTAGGCGAGAATGGAGTCCCCCAGGTGTCCTCTGACCTCCACACATGTGCCATGACATGTGTGCAGACACACTAAATAAATGTACTAAGAATAAATAAGTAAAAATAAACAACAAAGCATTTTAAGCCTCCACACTTTGACCCTGGAGGTTTATAACACTTTGAAAGCCAGAGTGGTCAATCTGTCTCTGACTCCCTGACCCCCTTTAACCATGTGTACCCCAAATGCCAGAGTGCCTGTGGGGAACAGCAGGGCTGAAGATGGGTTTCCTGCTGCCTGTGGAGAGCGGAGCATTTCCTGTGCCCCGGGCCTCATTAGCACACTGGCGAAGGTGCTTCCTGTCAGTGACTCTTTCCATTCTGCCAGAGCAGTTTGCATTTTCACTCTGCTCTGGGGGGTGGAGGAAAAAGAGTTTCTCACAGATCTGCTGGACCTCTGAGCAGTTTTTTTTTTCCCTGTGCACCTCACGTTTCCACCAACAGGCAGAAACTAGAGAGCCAGCCCAGCCACTTTGCACTGGGAACATCAACACCTGGATGAGAGACAGCTCGCTTTCTCCAGTGGGCACTGTGGTCACCCCCAGTAAACCAAAGCTGATGCTCTGGAACCTTGTACCAACTCCCCCTGGAATTTCAGGTGAACGTAGGGAGGCTTGGGTTTTATTATTGTCGTTAGTATAGTAGTACATTTATTTATAGTGTGTGTGTGTGTGTGTGAGAGAGAGAGAGAGAGAGAGAGAGAGAGAGAGAGAGAGAGAGAGAGAGAGAGAGAGAGAGAGAGAGAGAGAGAGAGAGAGAAGAGGACAACTTGTGGTAACTGGTTCTCTCCTTCCACGGTGAAGGTTATAGGAGAAGGTTATGATGGGGGCAAATTTGGGTCATCAGGCTGGCAGTAAGCACCACCTCTACCTGAAGAGCTATTGCATCAGCCCAAAAAAAGGGAGTCAGTTGGGAGAAAGTTCTAGAACAGAAGATTAGAATCTTCAGAAAGATTTAAAAAAAACAAAACCGTTTTTTGTATGTGAGACCTTTGGTGAGTACAATCTAGGAAGGATGGCTGGGGGCTGCCCTGACGATAGAGTGCGTGCCTATGGTGTGCAGCTCCAGTCCCAGCCCTACTGCTCATTCAGATAGAGTGTAGCATGTGCCTGTAAGGACCAGTACTAAGGAAGCAGAGGCAGCAGGATCAGAAGTTCAAGGTCGTCTTCAGCTATATATCTTGGCTACGTAAAGAGTTCTAGGCTACCCCAAGATATAGGAAACCCTACGTGAATGGCTATATAGCAAGTCCCAGGTTTGTCTGAGATACACGCAAGCAACCCTATCTAAATAAACGAATAAGAAATTTCAGGAGTAAAAAGAGATACATTTGGGAAAACATGGAGATTTGGAGACTCTTCTGTCATTCTTACTTTATCTATTTTCCCCCCTTTCTTTTAAAAAGGTGGTTGTATGCAAAATACATACCAATTTGCCTTTTTTTCCTACGAATCAGCAACTTAGAAGAGTCAAGAAAAGGACAACAATACTGGGGAGTCAATACTGACACCGAGAAGACTCAGACGCTGCAGAGCCCCTCAGAGGTTCCAGGGATGTACACCACGCCAGTCCCACCAGATGTCACAAGAAGGAACTCGGGGCCCAGCACTTTGCAGGGGACTCTTGGCAACCTGGAAGGGTGAGTGGGCTGAGGAACTAAACTCCACTGTCCCTGGCAGTGCTGCCATATCTACAACCCAGGCCTGGGCCACTAGGACCAGCAAACTGAGCTGGGAGAGAAGGAAGGAGACGGAGGTAGGGTACTGACAGCTGAATTTCTGATTGGATTTCCTTCTTCTCAAAGGCCTTGACCTCAATCTTTCTGATCTCTTGTTTCAGTATGATAGAAACAAGAGTCCTAGTTCCCCAGCAATGAGATTTTTAGATCCTAAAACCTTGTCATGAGTTGGAAATGTAGAGACAGAAGTTATAAAGTTGCTGGGCAGTGGTGGTGCACACCTTTAAAGGCAACACTCAGGAGGCAGAGGCAGGTAGATCTCTGTGAGTTCAAGGCCAGCCTGGTCAACAGAGCGAGTTACAGGACAGGTTCTGAAGCTACAGAGAAATCCTGTCTTGAAAAAACAAAAACAAAACAAAAAGAAAGAAGTCATAAAGTCTTAGGACATAAAATCTTACAGACTAATCATGGATGTGAATTCACCCCTGAAGTTCCCAATCTCAGATAACAAAAATAAAGTGTCTATTGGGCATAAATTTCAGTGCTGTGATCAAAGTAAAACCCAACAAAAGTGTACCTTTTCAATTTCTGCAGTTTTAGGAACATTTAATACTATTACCAAAGAAAATCCATGTCTCTTGCAGGTAAAACATGCCAGCTAAAAGCTATTTCCTTTTTTTTTTTTTTTTTTGGGTGGGGGAGTGGAAGGGAGAGGTCAGAGGACAATACGCAGGAATTGGTTCTCTCCTTTCACCATGTGGGTCTCAGGGATCAAACTCAGAGTGGCAGGCTTGACAGTGGATGCCTTTACCCACTGAGTCAGCTCAGTGACTCCTAAAACTATTGCTTTTTTTAAGCTGAGTTTTGTTTTGTTGTTGTTTTCTTTTTCACTTTGTAGCTACAAAATAAAATCTGTATGTCTATATTGTGTTTGGCATGTTGTTCTGAAATATGTACACATTGTAGATGGGTAAGTTGAGCTAAGTAACGTATTTATTCGTGACATACTTTTTATGAGAGGAATAACAATTTAAGCAATGTTCAAGAACACATAATTTTCAGCATTACCATGTTGAACTTCTTCCTTCCGTCTAACCTTTGGCCAACATCTCTGGGACCCCTCGAGCCACCTCTGGTGACCACAACTCTATACTCCTGCTTTATGAGTTCTGTTCCTAGCTTTGTTCACTTAACACTATGTCCTCCAGGTCCATCCGCCTTGTCACAAACGACATGAACTTCTTCCCTTTTAAAGCTGAGTGGCATCCACTGTATATGTACTCCAGACATTCTCTATCCATTTATCTGTTGGTAGATGCTCAGATTGACTCCATATTGGGCTATTGTGAATTTTTCTGCAGTGAACATGACAGTAAAACAACTCTAATAAACAGGGGGTGCAGGCACACAGCTCTCACTTGCTTTGAATGGAGATCTAGCAGTGGAACTAGCAGAGCATATGGTGGTTCTATTTTTAATTTTTGGGATAATTGCCATAAGTCATTTTCCACAGTGACTGCATTATCTTCAAAACTATTTCTGTGTTCATTCATTATTTATTTCATTCACATATCATTGGACAAATATTCATTAAGCTTCTATAATATATCAGAGGTACTGTTTGAGATGCTGAGTGAATAGTATAGTCAAATCTATGGTTTCTTGAAGCTCACAGTGTTTGATGGCAAACAGATAACCAAATAAATGTAGTATGACCAGGAAAGATCTCTCTAAGGAGGTGACAACACTGTAGAAGAGACTTAAATGGAATGAGGAACTTGGCCATTCTGAGTACCTGAAGAAGGAGAGGCAGATCTGAGATAGAACTGTTCTTCATATGGGCAAGAACAGCAAGAAATTATGGTGGTCAGCATCAGAGGTGAAGGGGTTGGAAATGAGCCCAGAAATTAATCAGGAGATGCCAGATCACATTATGGAAAAAAATTCTCACTGAGTACGTACATTTATGGTCAGTATGATGGAAAGCCATGGAAGATTCTCAGTGGAGGAGAGACGTGATATAACTTACTCTTTACAGTGATCATACTAGCACATGGGTGAGCATGGTATGTTGAAGCCAAGAGTGAAAGCCAGGAGAGCCACCAAGGAGGTGGCCACTGCAACAGTCCACCCGGAACTCATGTTGGCTTATGCCTCTGTGGTGGCAGTGGAAGAGCAAGAGGTGGCTGGACTTGAAGCAGATGCCCTTGCCCAGGGCAAAGCTCATTCACTGGGGATAGGGCGTGAAAGAACAGTCAGGCGGAGTGGTGCCAAGGGCTTAGACTGTAGTGCTACATGGTTGAAAGTCTAGAGGAAAAGCCAGTATATGAGGGAGAATGGGAGCCCAGTTTTGGTGAGATCTCTATTGGGCAACATAAGAGAAATGGCCAATAGAAAATTGGGTCAATAAGCCCAGAACTCAGCAAGACAAAAATCTTTCCAGGTATGTCCTGGTTTTAATATTTGGGGGTCAGCTGCTTGTTCCTGCTAGATTTCCACTGCTTACTTCCTGCTGGAGTGGGTGTGGCTGCCTGATGTTGCAATCCTCTGGATGCATTTCAACACCGGGAGCTGTGGCTGCGCCCTGCCCAAGAATCACAAGGCTGCTCAAAACTAGTGTTGGTTAAATTTCACCCAACAGGCTAGTGTTGCTTAGAGACCAGCTCCACATTTGGGGGTTACTCAAGTTCATGTAAACTGGACTCTGTCACAGAACCACTCCCTGATAGTGAGTTGAGTAATCCTCTCCCAGCAAGCCAGGAGAACCGGGAGCTGGAATGAGGGAGAAGCTGGGCCAGATGCGTTTGGCTTTGGAAATTTGTAGATAGTATAAGTAGAAAAAAGAATGATCTCTGGACTTAAACCAACCTAGACTGTTTTTTTTTTCCAAGACAGGGTTTCGCTGTGTACCTTTGGAGCCTATCCTGGCACTCACTTTGTAGACCAGGCTGGCCTTGAACTCACAGAGATCCACCTGTCTCTGCCTCCCGAGTGCTGGGATTAACGGCTTGTGCAACCAGCGCCAGGCCAACCTAGCCTCTTATTCTGGCTCTCTGCCTTCTGCCCTATGAGATCTTGGCTGTGTTACTTTTCCTTTCTGGTCTCAGAATCCTTAGGCACAGATGGCTTTGTGAAGATTAAATAAGTTTCATAAGCAAGCCCCTAGCACCTGGTAGGCGTTCAAAGGGATGGCTCCCTTTCCCATGTGCAAAGCTCCTTTCTCCATCAAGTTGCTGTTCAGAGCTGACTTCCTTTTCTTTTTTTTTTTTAGTTATATATAGGTGTGTGTGCGCACATGGGCATGTGGGTTTGTATGCTCAGAGGCCAGAGACATTGAGTCTCCTGGAACTGGAGTTACAGAGGGTCATGAGACCCAGTGTGTGCTGGGAACTGAACCCAACTCCCGGGAAGAGCAGCAAACACTCCTGACCACTGAGCCATCTCACCAGACCCCAGATACGACTTTCTCTTGCTCTATTTTGTCCCCTCCACCTCAACATTCTTTGTCCAGCTCCCATGTGTTACAAGGGGGCTCTTCTTGAAGGATCGAATACAAGCAAGAGACATATACAATTTAAACTAAAGTTTATTTAGGAAAGGTAAGCAAAGCAAACACTCCAAAGAGAGATTGGAGTAAGTGCTTCCAGGCAAGGAACAGCTCAATGAGTACTGCACTGTTGATTTAAAAGAAACTTTTATGAATATGTATGAGGTAGGTGGCTTTGTCACAGAGTAAGATGACCTCTTTCCAAATCATGGTGGGCCAGGTCTCCCTTTTAGAGGATTTCTTCTCATGATCCCTGCAAATGGCGGAAGATGTCAAAACCATAATACAATAACATCAATCTTTTGTTGTTGTTGTTGTTTTGGGTTTTTTGTTTGTTTGTTTGTTTTGTTTTTCGAGACAGGGTTTCTCTGTGACTTTGGAGGCTGTCCTGGAACTAGCTCTTGTAGACCAGGCTGGCCTCGAACTCACAAAGATCCACCTGCCTCTGCCTCCTGAGTGCTGGGATTAAAGGCATGCGCCACCACCGCCTGGCTCAACATCAATCTTTTGAGTCCGTGAGTATAGGAAAACGCCTGGGTGCCTTGGTTTCTGATATAGCAGGAAGAACTTAATTTCAGCTTCAGGATGTTTAACCATAAAGGGGCATCTGGCCATCAGGGGCAATCAGCTAAGATCCAGTGTTAGTTTCCCTCCATTTCTTCATATCTATCTCTTTGCCTAACTGGTATCATTTGGGCTTTATCTCCTGAAAGAAATGTCTTCTCCAACATTCGCAAGCCCAAATCTCATGCCCAGCTGGGGCATGACCACCTGGTTTTCCTTCTAGAAAGAAAGGCCAGAGCAGCAGCATCTTCCCCGGCTTTGTGGCACTGCTGGCCGTCTTCCTGGTCATCGTGGCTGCCTGCATCCTGTGGAACTGGAACAAACGGAAGAAGCGTGAGTTCCATGATTGCCTCCAGTTAAGATTCTGTAGGATCAGTCTTCCAGCCTGGCGTTTAAACTCTGGGGAAATTTCTAATGAGACACTACCTCCCTGGACTTCTGTATCCTTTCCTGACACTGGTCCTAAGCTGTGGCCGTCCTGCAGATCTGAGTGACACTGAGAAAACATGTAGCTTTGGCATCCTTGTACCCAGTTTCCTCTTCCTGCCTCTGTCCACTGAGTTTCTTGTCATTTGGCTGAATTAGAAATCCTTTTCACGACACCTGGTGAGGGTGGCGAATCCTGCTGGGGAATATCCGTCCTGAGAGCCCCCATGTTCTGCCGCATGTTCTGCGTTCTGACCTATTCTCTCGTTGCCTTTCAGGGAGAGTTCCTTATTTCCAAGTAGCTCCATCGCTGACTCTGCCTCCACCCAGACAACGAGCCAAAAATATTTATGACTTCTTGCCCCAGCAGCAGGCAGAACTGGGTAAGTTTCTCCTAATCCACCAGTTACCAACCTGTGGGTCGCAACCCCTTTGGGACTCAAACGACTTTTTCGCATGAGTCACATATCAGATATCCTACATATCAGATATTTACATTATGATTAATAAAAGTAGCAACATTACAGTTATAAAGTAGCAGTGAAAATAATTTTGAGGTTGAGGGTCACCACAGCATGAGGAACTGTATTGAAGGATTGCAGCATGAGGAACGTTGTGAACCGCTGTCCTAATCTATGGAGTCCTGACACTCTAAATTTATGCTGCAAAGATGCACCTCACACCACTCAGAAGCAACTTTCTCCAGGTATCCAGGTTGTACAACAGCACTGGGTAGTGCGCACCTCCAGTGGGGGACTCTGAACAGAGAGACAGAAGGGGTCAGTCGGGCTTGGAGTCTGCTTTCCCTTGGTGTTAGGCAACGGCAGAAAGCCAGTTACATCATAGGTGGTGAAGACATGAATAGGACGGTGACACCAGCATTATAAACAGGGGATGGGAGTTCTCCACAGGCATGCCTGAGAATGCATTCAGGTCTCAGAGCATCATCCTGTAACTCTTACTCTCATAAGCACAGAACACAAGACATTGGGTTTTCACAGGCACCACCCAACCCCCATTGACCTGCTAGCAGAAATACTGGGGCAAAAGCACTCTGAAGCCCACTATCTTCAAAATTCATTTTGTTGTTGCAGGGAGACATCAGTCACATGGTTTCAGTACTGAGAACCTCCTTTCCAGAGATTCTGATAGCCCTGAGCATGAGGTAAGAGCCAAGTGAAAAGATGAAGTCCCAGGAGAGCGACAGAGAACTGAGGGACTGGGGTTTGGTCTTAGATCTGGTTTTACAGCAGATGCATGTCATTTGGCATCTGAAGAACTGCCTACTGACCAAAGAAAAGAAATACGATTTAACTTATGGCTGGTGTGGTAACACATTCCTGTAATGCAGCTCTCAGGAAGTCAAGGACAGGTTGACAGAGTCTAGACTGAGTACATTGTGAGTTCCAGGTTTACCTAGACTACATAGGAATATCATGCCAAGAGAGGGGTGAGGAGAGGAGCCAGCACTTAGGATTTTAAGAAAGGCACATGCATTTTTATATGATGTTAGAACTGAAAGTGGTTATTTTAATAAAGACATGACAATTTGTCTATCCAAATAACTGTCGCTCCATTCACAGTGGTCACTCTAGGAATCCATAGTTATTTCAACAAAGTTGTTAGTGTTCAAATCACACTTTAAACCCATCTCCAAAAAAAGTTTACATTTTACTTTACTATATTGTTTTGCCTGCATGTATGTATGAGCACTATGTATATTCCTGTTGCTAAGGGAGGTCAGGAGGAATCACTGGATTCCCTGGAACTGGAGTTGTAATTCTGAACTACCATGTTGGTGCTGAGAACTGAACCTGGGTCCTCTGAAAGAGCAGCAAGTTCTCTTAACTGCTGAGTAATAGTCCCATCTCCTAAAACTCACCTTTGGGAATTACTTCTAGGGCCTACGCCAAACCATTTCAATTATCCCGAATAGCAGAAATTTCCGTAAGTCATTCAGCTCTCAGGCCGATGTAGAAAGCACTTGATCAATGAGAGTGTGCTGATCCATTCAGGGTAGTAGAAATGTATTTGGCTGATCGTTCTAGAGGCTGGAAAGTCAAGGTCAAGGGAATGTCTCTAATGAGACTTTCATGTTGTCATAGCTTGACACAAGGCATCATGTGGCATGAGATAAAATCCATTTATCAGGATCCCATTCCTTTAACAACTGCTTCTGTAATACCAAGGTTATTTGTCTCCTTTTTTTTTTTTTTTTTTTTGGTTTTTCGAGACAGTCTGGTCTCAAACTCACAGAGATCCTCCTGCCTCTGCCTCCCGAGCGCTGGGATTAAAGGCGTGCACCACCAACTCCCGGCTTTATTTGTCTCTTTTTAAAAATTATGATATTTTTAAAAATTGCAACATTTCTTACTCATTTATTTTGTATGTGTGAAGGTATGTACGTGCCACCACGTGTATGCGGAGGTCAGAGGACAACTTGAGACAGTCACTTATTTTCTTCCATCACATGAATTTAGGTCATCCAGCTTGATGGCAGGTACCGTAGTGGCTGAGCCGTCTCACGGGCCCACCCTTTAATCACCTCTTTAAGGCCCCACTCGCAACATTATTGCATAGCAACTAAATCTCCAACATGGAAACACACCTTTAATCCTGGCACTTACGAGGCAGAGGCAGAGGCAGAGGCAGGTGTGTCTCTGTGAGTTTGAGGCCAGCCTGATCTACAAAGTGAGTTCCAGCACATACAGAATTACATAGCGAGACCCTGTCTCAAAATGAATAAAACCAAAAATAAAATAAATCTATTGCCTTGGCATGGAGATTTATGCCTGCAAAAGCACTCAGGATTTCCTATGAACTGAAGGCCAACCTGGGCTATGTGGTAAGTTCCAGATGAGTGTGGGCAACAGAGGAAGGCGTTGTCTTAAAAAAGAGGAGGAGGGGGGACTTCACATTAGAGATCCACATGCTTTTCTTGACATTTCTGGAATCCTAGAAAACTGGTATCCTTCATTCTTAGTGTTTTCTACACGTGACACTGTTCTGGACACATCACATGTTGTAACTCTTTGACCACTCCCAAACGCCTTATAACATAGACATTGTGGGAACCCTCAGTTTGTAGACTAGGAGATGAAGGTACCAACGGAAGACTTTCAGATTCGCTCAGCACAAAGTGGCAAAGCTGGGATTTGCACCCTCATTTGCACTTGAATCTAAGTCTCCATCTTCAGCCCAGGCATTGCCCCTCCAGTGTGCCCTGGTGAAGTGCACTTTCTCCTGTGTGTGCCACTGTCCCCACTGACTCCTCCCCTTCCATCATAGCCAAAACCTGTTGTGATTCTAACATCTCATTTCAGCCACTGTTTTCCTTAATGTTTTCTGAAGTATTAAGGATCTGACCTATTGTGTGTGCCACTCTACCCCTGAGCTACAGGCCCAGCATTGCTTTTCTCCTCCTTAGCCCATGTCGCTCATAGCCTCAGCACGCCCGGCACCCAAAGCCTTGCAGTGTGAGAGCCTGACTTGGAGCCCAGCTCCAAACTAGAGCGTGGAATGAAGGGATTGTAACGCCAGGCAATGCAGGGAGCAAGAGTGGCTGTGTCCCTGTTTCACTCCCATCCTGTCACTTTGTCTTCTTTTTTGCAGGCCTCCCAGGCAGATGGTTCCCTTCAGATACACAGAGCTTCCGTTCATGCTGTGGAGTACACAGTAGGCATCTATGACAACGGTACAGTGCCCCAGATGTGTGGGCACCTTGCCCCCTCCGCACATTACATCAGTGTCAGGACCTCCAGAAATAACTCCAGCATTTCTTCCACGGAGTCAAATGATTATGTCAATATCCCCACAGCAGAAGAGACCACCAGTGAGACTCTAACTTTTACCAAAAGCACTCCTGAAAATCACTGGGGTCTTCCCAGTGCCCAGAAGCTGGAGTCTGCTGAAGGAGGGCAAGCAGGCTATGGGGCTGCCACCAACCACACTGGCTTGTGGGCTCCAGGAAGTAAGTTCAGTGATGGAGAAGATTCATCTCAGACTTCAAATGACTACGTCAATATGACAGGTTTGGATCTTGAGGACGTCCAAGAGAATCAGCCCAGGGTGGCTTTTCAGTGCTGCAGGGATTATGAAAATGTCCCAGCGGCAGCAGCAGATACCGACGGAAGCCAGCTGCAGACTCGAGAAGAAGAGACGTCTTCGCATCCAGACCATGGGGAGCCTGTCTGCAGGGCCCTGTCTTCCGTGTATTATATGGCATTTCAACCATCTACACAGAGTGAGGACAGAGAGGTGGCGCACGCAGAGGAGCACTCAGATGGAGACTCTAATGACTATGAGAATGTGCTGGCTGCTGAGTTAGGAGGGGACTGCCAACAGGGGCCAGGGGCTTGGTGTCCTTCTGATGGCGGAGCACCAAGTTACCTAGCTGGAGAACTTTGTGAGGTGGCCTGTCCTACTGGGTCTTTAGGCACTGAATTCTCTAGTGAAGATGCCTGAGTGCCCCAGCATCCTGTTGGATTCACTTGGTTAGGCTAAGGAGACTGAGGGAAACAGGGCACTAGCAGGCTGCACGTAAGCAAAAGTTTAGGAAGCCCAGCAAAAAGAGTTCTCCTCAGTCAATATGGCTGTTAGCTCTCAGGCCAACTGAAGTAAGTTTAGTGACACTGCCTAACCAGGATGTTAGAAAAGGGACTGTGCACAGCACTTAGAGTGGAAATGAGATGTGTCGAAAATAATCACCTTCACAAACACTGGAGAAGTGTAGATTATTTTGTGACTCAGGTGGGCCAAAAGGAGGAACAAGTTGGGGTAGGGCAGGTGACTTTCAGTTTAAGAAGAGCTGGTGAGGGTGTAGAACTATAGGAGCCCTATTGCTGCTGGTGTGACTGCAAATTTGTCTTACGAACTATCCACTTCACCCTTAGGAACTGAAACTACTTTCCAATGTATACTGGAGTTGTACAAATAAATTAATCTGTTGTAGATAAGGAGGGGCAGGTTCCCTGTAAAATGTTTTTATTATATTAACCTGAGCTCTATGTGGCCATTTTCATATAAGTATATAATGTAATCTGAGATATCCACCCATCCCTCAAAACTTTCCCTTTTCCCAGTCTTTCTCCTTCCCATGAGACCACAACATTCCCCTGGACAATCTCACTTTGACTTTCCTACCATCTGTACATTATATAATTTTATGTATCTACATAAAAATCTAGGACCCACTAATGAAACAAAGCATGTGATATTTGTTTTCTTAATCAGTGTGGTACTGACTGTGGTCAGATAAAACCTCAGTGTGGTTTTAATTTGCATTTTCTGATGGATAATGATGGTAAACACTTTTCCATGCATTTATTGGTCATCTGTACTTCATCTTTTTTTTAATGCCCTACATGCTTGCCTGAAGCCTGATTTTTCTTCTTCTTCTTCTTCTTCTTTTTTATTTTTTGGTTTTTTGAGACAGGGTTTCTCTGTATTGTTTTGGAGGCTGTCCTGGAACTCGCTCTGTAGACCAGGCTTGAACTCACAGAAATTCACCTACCTCTGCCTCCCAAGTGCTTATTATTATTTTTAAAATTTTTATTTCATGCACATTGGGGTTTTGCTTGTGTGTATGTCTGTGTGAGATGTTAGATCTTTTGGAACTGGAGTTAGAGACTACTGTGACTTGCCATGTGGGTGTTGGGAATTGAACCTGAGTCTTCTAGAAGAGCAGTCAATGCTCCCAACTGCTGAGTCATCTCCCCAGCCCTGTACTTCATCTCTCTCTCTTGGCTTTTTTGAGACAAGGTTTCTCTGTAGCTTTGAAGACCATCTTGGAACTTGCTCAGTAGACCAGGCTTTGAATTCAAAGAGATCCACCCGACTCCTCTCATTAGCTCTATGAGAGAGAGAGAGAGAAAGAGAGAGAGAGAGAGAGAGAGAGAGAGAGAGAGAGAGAGAGAGAGAGAGAGAGAGAGAGAGAGTCTACTAGGATGACCTAGGCTTGAACACACTGAGCACTCAGATCCTGGTCCCTAAGCACTACTCTCCAGGAGAAGGATAAGAACTTGCTGGAGAAGTGGCTGGTTTTAATGCTGCCATGCATCTTGCAAAAGGAGGAAGGGTAAAGGGTAGAAAGGGAGTAAGGAAGAGAGAAGCAGGGAAAAAGAGAAGTCAGATGCAAAGAGCTCCCAATTCTAAAACCTGGAATAAATCAGGCAATGAAAAACAAGTAGTTATTGATTAACAGTTCAAATGCTGTACAGAAAGGATAAGACATGGCCACTAAGAACCCTAGAACAATGCTGCCAGCAAACCCACTAGTGATACAAAGAGTCAAGACCATAACAGAACTTCAGAGAATCTTCCCTAAATGTTTACTAACTATTGTGACGGTTATGACACTTGTCCACAAACTTTTCCATATTCTCCTGAAGTTTGAGCCTTTTCTCCTTTGATACAGGCTGCATCTAATGATGTATTTCTAATAGAATATTAAAATGGGAAAATACGAAGCTTATAATGGGAAAACTTGGCAGATACCACCTCCATCAAATGATTACAGTCACTCAACACACCAGCACTAAGTCACAGTGATGTCATGTGCTGCTGACAGGACCAAGAATACCATAAAATAAAATAAAATAAATCCAGAACTCCAGCCTTCTTGAAATCCAAACTGGGCTAGAGAGGTGGCTCACTGGTTCAGAGCATATGGTACTCTGGCAGAGGACCTGAGTTTGACTCCCAGAATCCATGTCAAGTGCTCTCAAATACCTATAACTTCAGTTCCAGGGAGGTCAAAAGCCTCGTCTTTCAAGGACACTTGAACACTCAGGCACATACCTACACACAGACCTACACATTGACTTAATTAAAAATAACAACATAAACCTTTAAAAGAGAAAAAAATCCAGATGGAATGTTTTTGCACAGATGCCTAGCCAAAAAAGACTGAGAAACAGTCACCGATTAGAGGAGACCAAGGAGACAGGACTAAATATAACACAACACCTCAGACTGGATTAACAATAGAGAAACAGATGCGATTCCAAACACCCATATTTAGTTAGCAAGATTGTGTTAGTGCTGGTGTCTTTGGTTTTATGGCTATAAAGTGATCATGTATGATATCAACACTAGAGGAAGTGAGATAAAAAGATATATGAGAATAACCAAAACTATTCTTTCAATTCTTTTGTAAGCCTAAAATTATTTTAAAATAAAAATAAATTTAGCCGAGTGTGATGCTGCATGCCTTTAACCCCAGCACTTGGGAGGCACAGGTAGGTGGATCTTTGTGAATTTGAGGCCAGCCTGATCGACAGAGTGAGTTCCAGGACAGCCAGAGCTAAATAATGAGACCCTGTCTCAAAAAAAACCCAATAAAAACAAACAAATAGATACAAGTAATCCTAGATCTAATACTTAGGGTTCCCTAAAGAAATAGCACCAACAGAATGAATATGGATCACAAAGGAAACTTATGTGGTTGACTTACGAGGAACTGGGTAGTATAACAAATGCAACCTGCATTATGGAGAGACTGAGAATCTTGCACTGGACACGACCATTGCCCAACAAACTCACAGTGACTATGGTCAAGTCAGTGAGGTCAGTCAACATTCCAGCAAGCAGCTGTAACTGGACTCAGTGGGTTACAAAAGCAATGTTTTTAAGAGACAGAGAAAATGTGAAGACAGGAGGGAGATGTGTGGGATCCAGGAGAAGTTACAATGGGGTAAACAGTAGATAGGTGTTATCAAAATATATTATATACGTGTATGAATTCTCAAATGATAAATAAAATTGTTATCTTTAAAAGGTAAGCAATCCACTGTGATTCCTTAAGTAGTTAAACAGTAGATTAATTACTTGTACTAATCAGGGTTCTGTAGAAAGGAACAGAACTCATAGAATATAACACATACATACATATATACAAACGTGTGTGTATATACAAATGTGGGGTTTTTTTGGTTTTTTGAGACAGGATCTCTTTGTTATGAAGTCCTGGCTGTCCTAGAACTCTCTCTGTATACTAGGCTGATCTCAAACTCACAGAGATCCTCCCACCTCTGCCTCCTGAGTGCTAAGATTAAAGGTGTGCGTCACCACCGCCAGGCTCTTCCATGTCATTTTATTCAGGTTGTCCCCAGAAAGTGTAGCTCAGATTCACTGAGGAGCTTCCTACTTTCAATGGGATCAAGAAAATTCCTTATAGGAGTGTCCAGCAGCTTGGGTTTTAGTTGATTCCAGATGCAGTTAAGTTGGTAACCAAGATTAGCCCTCACATCATCCCCTGACCTGTGTTCATTGTCTCCTTATTCAGAACACTACCTAGTATAAAATACAGAGAGTTGCTAAGTCCTTCGTTCTCTCTAGAAGACACCATGCTGTAGTGGTAGGCAGAAGAGATAAGACAAACTCACAGTCCCTAGGGCATCTGTCCTCCCCAATATCTTAGTGCTGTGAGGACCTTATCACTTCTGGCTTTTCTGTGGACTAAGGGCGTGTATGGACCTACAATATGCTGGGGCCTCCTCCCCTACAGTTAGAGGAACGTGGAAATGAACTGGCCTCTCTTTCCTCCTGCCAAGCAACCCCCTTAGTATTCCCAACTCCAGACTGGGTAGGTAGATATCCATTTCGACCCTGAGGGATTAGGATCTTTTCCAGAGACTGCAACATGGCAGGACTCTTTTTCCTGCCTCAGAGGCCCTCCAATCAAAAGAACTTGAGGCCTTTCACAAGAAAGGAATTTTCTACACAGGGCCAGCCCTAACCACACACCTACACACGGGACCTCAGTTTAATGTCCCACTATCACCACCTTGAAACATAAACACACACACACACACACACACACACACACACACACACACACACACACACACACACACACACAGAGGCTGGATCTAATATGCCCAGAGCAGCCTAAGACTCATTGTGTAACCAAGGATGAGCTTGAATTTTTGTTCTTCTTGCCTCCATCTCCCAGGTGCCTGAGCTATGGCACCTGGCCTGCCATCTTGCCATTCTTGACTTTGAAAGCAATTCTTACTTTTGAACTGTGTTTTATGACTATCGTCCAATGGGGTAATGAAGAACTCAGTAAGAAAGAGGGGACTCACAGGTAGCTACTGCTTGCTACAGTAAGGTAGCAAAAAGGTGAATACTGATGCTTGGTTTGCTTTCTGCTTTTCACTCAGTTTTGGGATACTGTTCCATAGAATTGTGTTGCCCATACTAACGGTGGGTTTCCTCAAATAGGTCTATCCCAAACTCCCTTGCAGACATGTCCAGAGGTTTGTCTCCTATATTATCCTGGAATCTGTCAAGTTGATAAAATTAATGATTACAATCATAAATCACAATTTAATTGCTTTCATCCCAGAAATGAAAGGTTGGTTCAACATAAGCAAAAAAAAAAAAAAAGTAATAGAAAAGAAATTCAGCCGGGCATTGGTGGTGCACTTTAATCCTAGCACTCGGGAGGTAGAGGCAGGTGGATCTGTGAGTTCGAGGCCAGCCTGGCTTACAGAATGAGTTCCAGGATATCCAGGACTGTTACACAGTCTGTCTCAAAAAGCCTAAGTAAATAAATAATAAAAATAGGGTAAGAAGAAGTAAAATTATTCTTATTTTTGGACAATATAATTCTATACTTGAAAACTACTGTGAATGCCACCAGAAGACTTATAAATAGATCTGATAAACAACTTTCAGTAAAGAGAGCATAAAATCAACATACAAAAATCAATAACTTTTATTTGTACCAAAAATGAACTTGCTGAAAAAGAAATTAGAAAAAAAGTATTCCCTTCACTATGGCTTAAGAAAGAACACAAACAAACAAAAACACAAAACAAAGAATAAACCTACCTTAGGAAATAAAAGACCTCTTCATTGAAAACTTCAGGCTGAGTTGTGGTGGCACAAGCCTTTAATCCTAGTACTTGGGAGGCAGAGGCAGGTGGATCTCTGTGAGCTCAAGAACAACCTGCTATACAGAGGGAGTTCCAGGACAGACAGGACTGTTTCACAGAGAAACCCTGTCTCAAAAAAATCAAATCAAAACAAAACAAAACAAAAAACCAAAACAACAACAAAAAACTTTTGTACAACAAGGAAAAAGCAGCAAAGTGAGCAGACAGACTAACTTAACAGAATGGGAGAAAATCTTGGCCAGTTATATTTTAGACAAGAGGTTAATATCTAGAATAAAACTTGCCAGTCAATAAACAAGTGGG